GAGAGCGCTATTCCAGATGCCATCGCGGCCCGTCGTTCCGCTGAAATGCGTCGCTCTGAAGCCGCTTCGTTGGCAAATTTGGCTCGTCGGCGTGCCCAGGCTAACAGCTCCTTGCAGTCAATGATCAGCATGGAGAAGATGAATGAGGCTACCGCGCGGGACTTGCTTGGTTAAGCCGTTCGGCCTCTAAGCACCTCGGGTTCTCGTTTACTGGACCTAAATTTCTAAATGCTGAAATGAGTAAAGAAAGTTTGAAATAAAGACATTGCCTCAACTGGCGTTCCAGTGATTCGCTTCGCCCAAAGCTGTTCTGTTGAAGAGCGTCCAGGAGAGCTATTTCGTCTACACTTTCATAATCCCTCGTTGCGGTCGTGAGAGTCTATCAAAAGTCAAACAGCTACGCGGCAAGGCTGGAAGCATCACTGTTACCTATTTCAAGAAAACATCCCACAGCAAGACCAACAGCTACTTTTTCTACAAAAATAAAATCATGGCCAAGATTTTCGCAACAATCGGCCTTTGCGCCGCACTGGCGCAGGCTGGGAAGCCAGTGGTGGAGTTGAGCCTAGCGTCTCCGTCGGCTCCGTATCCCGCAGTGTCTAGTGCTATTGCTGCAGCGGAATCCACCCGCCTGTCGGCTGAGCATGCGGCTTTGTCTGAGATCGACGCGGCGTACAAGTCGACGCTTGCGCAGGCCTCAGTCGCCCTTGGCAATACCATTTCCAAGGCCCTGGGTCGTGCGTCCTTTGCCAACATTGCGGAGCCGGTCATCTCTGTTCGCGTTGAAGGTGCTGCCTCGGATGAATCCGCTGGAGTTGCCGGTGTCAAGGCCTTGGAAGGCAAGCGTGCGTCAGCTATGGGTGCCCTCGTGTCGTCGGCCAAGCAAGAGTTCGGCGAAGTTGCCAAGGTTGTGATCGCGGAGTTTGACAAGCAATTGCGCGGGCACAAAAGCTTTTTGCGGTTTTCCCGGGAGATCAACGTGCGCGTCGGAGCGGATCCATCGTACAAGACTGTTTCCGCCATGTTGGGCGACATGGAATCTCGTCGCGACTCGGGGGAGACTCGGCTGAGAGCGGCCATTCTATCCAAGGAAATGCAGTTGGTGAAGGCTTTGAATGCCATCGGCGCAGCTGCTTTGTCCCACTAAATGGCAGAGTTGCAACCTTATCCACAAAGACTAACCCACGCATTTGAAAGTTAGATGAAAGCTTTGGATCAATTCAGCGCTCCTACGTTGCTGCATCACGTCTGCGGCCAACTTGGTTATGGCACTTTGCCCTCGCGTTTCCGTGTTTCATTGTGAGCGGAGAGCCAAACCTGCAAAAAAAAGGTTCTGAGCGGAGAGACAAACAGCTCAAAGAGTCATTGCAAATCAAAAGCACACACTTCCGCTTCTTCAACTCTTTTGTGATTTCTGTTTCGACCTAGAGCATCTTTTTTGTCAACAAATCTACAAAAATGTACTCCAAGATCCTTGCTGCGTGCCTCGTTGGCAGCGTTGCTGCTGATAGTGAGCCGCTGATCCAAGTTGCCCTGGCGCCGCCAGTGGATGCGGGGAGTAGCTTCTCGTCCTATGGGAAGGCGGAATCCGCCATGGAAGCTTCTGGCGTGAGCAGTCTCCAGAAGGCCATGTCTTCCGCACTGGCATCCGCAAAGGCAGAGATTGACGCTGTGGTACACCACTCCTCCTTTCTGCAAGGCGCACCAGTTTTCATTCGCGTGATGAGTGGCCCGGAGTCGGGTGCTTCCGCTGGTCGCGTTGCGGCTTTTGAAAACGTGCGATCTGATCTGGAATCCAAGCGCATTGCGCAAGCCACCGCGGAGTTTGGCGCTCTGGCCAAGATTGTCATCGGGGAGTTGAAGAGCGCGCTGCATGGGAGTTTTCTGCAGAAAGGAGCGGGATCTATCGGCGTCAAGGTCAAGGCTTCTGACATTCCGTGGGCGTCCACCGTGGATCTGCTGCAGGCCACTGAATCCTCGCGCGACGCGTCGGAGGTTGCTCTGCAGGGCAAAATCTTGGACATGCAGATCCAGTTCGTCAAGGCGTTGAACGGGATGATCGCCTCTGCATTGGGCTAAATTCCGTCTCTATGTCCCAACAGCATTTGTGCTGACAATTCTGCTGAATGTTGCGCGTTAAATGAAAAGTGCAGGCCGCGATGATATTTGTGAATCTGCAGTGGCAGCTGGGCCACTTTTCCTCGTGCACAGGATCCAAGCACAAATGTTGTGTTCAACATGAGTTCGTGCTCTTCAAACTGCGTTCCCTGAGACCGTCGCAAATACCAAGGCAAGATTCTCAGGTAGGCTGATGTCAGAGGATTGAGTGACTGTCCAGAACGCTGCAAAATTTTTTTCGTGGAATTCGCCTCACAAACTGCAACCGTTTCTGCACAAAGTATTGTGAATTTAGGATTCATTTTTTTGTTACTCCGTTTCTCACGGATCAAGAAATATAAAATGTTTCGTCTTGCTCTCATCTTCACTGCCCTTTTTGGAGCTTTTGTCTCCGCCCAGCGTGAGAGCGACCTGTCTGACATTTCCGCAGCCGCCAAGGCGTACAAATCGGCGGGGCTAGCTTATCAGGCTGCTGCAGCATCCACAGGAGCCGCGTCGGCGGCTGCCACGGGAGGATCTGTCGTCGACTACACAACCGGCCAATCCGTCTCTTTTCTGCGCAAAGGAGCAATGCTACGCGGTTTGGTTTCGCGCATCATGGGAGCTTCCGGTGGTTATCTGCCGGAGCGCAAGACGCAGTCTCCCATTGTTCAGCTGCACTTGCACGCCTGAGTTTTCAGGGTTGGGCTTTTGAAAGACGCCGTCTCAGCTTCTTAACAATTGTCTTGATTTTCAGTTTGGAGTTGTCAAATTCTTAACACTGCTATGATTATCAGGTGCGCCACAGTTGCTACCCGACCGCAGTTGCAATTGCAGCGTTCGTAGCTGCTTGCTGTTCCAACAATTTGCTGTCTGGTAAGAATCATATGGCGCGCACTGAGTGAAAAAAAATGCAAGATTCGTGATGAGTGAAGTCGTGTTGGCGCTCATGGTTGCCAGCGCTCCGGAGTGAAAACAAAAGTCTCTTTGCACACACCCAAAACGACAACCTCCTAAATCAACACGCCTCCATTTGATAGAGTCGCGTTGTTTTTCACTCCACTTTAAGAAACCATGTTCGGTGTTGCTGTGTTCTCCGCTCTGGTCGCCGCTGTGTCGGCTGATCCAATCTTCCCCGGCTCTGCCTCTGCTGCCGCCAGCACGTTGGCCGGAATCATGTCCTCGGGAAGCTCCAGTACTGCCTACAAGCAGTCCGTTGGGAATGCGTCTGCCAATGAAGCTGCCGCTATTGCCGCGGGAACTGCTGCACTCACGGAGGAAGTGTCTTCCGCAATGGCTCTGGAAAGTTTGAAGAAGGACGCTTACGTCGCAGCCCACATCGCAGTCAGGAAGCAGTTGTACGCGGGCGGGTGCCCAATGAACATGTCCGGTTGCCCCATCGGATTTACTGCGTCTGGTGGAACCTGCTACCCCACCGCCTCTTACACGGGATACTGCGGCCCGCAGTCGTTCTCTGGCATGAGCGACGCACAGAAGACGGACTTCGCCTGGAAGTGCGGAGCTAGCTTCCCGTGCGCGTAGGGAGCTGGAGTTTTTGTCTCTAGGCAAAGATCTGACTTTTAGTTGCTCAAGCATTCTCCTGCCCAAATATACAAGAAAATCAGATTTGAAATTATGAGAAAGAAACTGGAAGCCCTTATCGCCGCTCAAGCAGCCTCCTCCTGCAAAATTGCTCAGATGTTCGTTTCGCAAAAGCAACTGACTCGTTGGCAAATTCGCCAGAAAACGTTCCTGCTCGGTGAGCGCAGCTGGATGAAAAAAGTGAAAAGTGAAGCAAGATATCTCCGTATGCGTGAGCAAGTGGATGAATTTGGATCTAATTGTATTTCCCTCGGCGTCATTCTCAAATCGCAAGAGAGAAATTTGAGTTGCTTCGTTCGCTACTAATCGTTGGTACGCTTTCTGATGTCGCTCTGACATATCTCAAAGGCTCTTTTTGTACTTATTGCAGAATCAAACTTTTTTCTCTTGTGGCAGACTCTGACACACCCGTCTTTTACATTGACAATGCGGTTCACTGTTTTTGCATCGTGCGCGACGCTCGTCGCTGGCTTCACGGCGTTTAACTCGCCGACGGCCCCCGGAAATTACGGCCTCCCGGCTGAAAAAGCAGAATTCACTGGTGAAATTGCCCACAGCCTGCCAGAAGTGAACGTCCGGTACCACTTCCCGGCCTTTGACGCGGCTTCGGCCATGTCGTCCATGGAAAGCGGCTTGGCGTTGGACAATCGTATCGCTGCGGCGGCTCAGGAGTTGCGTTCTGATAAAGTATAATACTCTTTCTTTGTGAATCTGCATCTTCTCGTCGCTCGTTTGTTCACACATTTTCCTGCTCGGGAAAAATAACATACTTAATCTGTACTCAAAAACACCTGCAGGCCCTTCTGGCGGCGCTCACTCCCTCCAGTTTTCTGCGCAAAGGCGATGCGATTCTGGGCGCCATGGGAAGTCTCCCGGTCCCGCCGCAGCCGGACACCACGGGCTTGGCTGCCTTCCGGGAAATGATGTTGGGTATGGAGCATGCCCCCCGGCCGCACCCGACCTACGCCTCGGCGGCTGCGTCCTGTCCGGGAGGATGCTGAACTGATGATCCAAGAGCAACGCGGACTTGTGCGTGAATATCAGTGCAAATGATTGAATCAGAGTTTTCTGACGGACCGCGACAAAAGGTCTGAGATCCACTCCTTTGAGTGTCGTTTTGTTCAAACGTTACAAAATGAGCGCAAATCGTTGCCCCAAATAATGAGCGCAAATGCAAAAGGCCTACCAAACTTCGCGAGCTCCCAGATGTGGTCTGCAATGCTTATTTGAAGCGTGTGATCCTTGTAGTGAATCTTTTTCTTTGTTTTGTTAGTCACAGAAACAAGATGTTTCGTGTGCTTGCAGCGACTTCCCTGTGCGCTCATGGTGCGCGGATGTTCCCTGACCCGCTGGAAATGGTGCCGCCGGGTGTGGCATCGGGCATTGCGGGTAAGGCCGCCGACGCGACTCCTTACACTTTGAACCTGATGCCCCCCTCCATGCCATCTGCCGAGGCAAACGCTGACATTGATGCGCTGATGGCTGTTGAGAAGGCCCATGAAAAGGGTCTGGAAGCGGCGGGGCTAGCGGACAAGCAACGTCTTCTGAACGCAGAGATTGCCAAGGTTCACAGCATCGTTGGCGCGCATCACTCGTTTCTCCAGGGTTATTCGTCGCTCGCTCCAGCTGCGGATCATGAATTCGTGTTGCACGCTCCTGCTGAAGACAAGGCGTCGGTTGACGCTGCCGTCTCGTCTATTTTCAAAACTGAATCTGCAAAGTCGTCGGCCGAAGCTGCCGCGGACGCATCCCTCAAGCAGGCTATGCTCTCTGCAGAGATCGCGAAGATCGGCCGGATCGTGCGCGGCAAGTCCAGCTTTCTGGAGCCTTTCGTGCCGCCAGTTGCCATTCAGTCCACCATGCAGGCCTCGCTCCCGTCTGTGATCGACATCCACTATGACGTGCCACATGCAGGGTTCACCCAGGAGTTGGCCGCGTTGAAAGCCGCGTCCTTTCTGCAAAAGGGCAAGACTGACGTGTACTTTGAAGCAGGTGCCCCGGCCTCGGTCCTGGAAAGTGAGTACCAATCCATCAAGACGTCGCTCGAGCAGAGCATTGAAAAATCCTTCCAAGCCATTCGCTCCGCTGCTTTGGGCGCGTCCTTCTTGAAGGCCTCTCCTTCCCGTGAGCCGACTGTGCACGTGATGGTTGACTCCGCTTCAAAGGGCAAGAAGGTAGATATGGCACGCCTGACGGCTGACGGATTTGCGTACGCGGCCAAGCGCCTCGCTAGCTTGGAAGCTGAAATGTCCCACAGCTCCTTCCTGAGTGGTGATGATGTGCCGCGCTCCGCTCCGGTGCTGAACGTGGACATTGAGACTCCGACCTTCGTCTCCGGTGCAGATATCGCAGCTGTCAAGGGTGAGATGCAGGCCATTTCCAGCTTGCAGTCACAGCTGCGCTAAATCTCTCCTTGGCGCCCGGAGCCGCTCGAGCGGACCTTCCTACATTTGACTGATGAAAAACGCGTCTATGTTTCGCTTTTGAAATCTCAACTCTGCTTCGTGAGTTCTTCATGCGCTCCATCAAAATAGTTTCTTCTTCTGTGTTCTATATGAGTCGTCATCACCCCAATCGCTGAGTGATGAGAAACAAATGTGGTAAGCAAATTTATAGTCCTCGTCATATGCTGTTTCGCGGAGAGATTGGAATCTAAACGGCCACCTGGATTATTTTTCTCCTCATTGTGTCCATGACCAACAAAATTTAGAACCAAGAAATCTAGTTTACCTTTTAGTCGAGCAACATGCGCGTTGTTTTCTGCCTTTTTGGAGCCGCCTCCGCCCTCAAAGTGAGGGACAGCGCGTCGGCAGCGTCGGGGCTTATCGGCTCGCTGTCTGGAGGAGGTGCAGCTGGATTGACTGCTGCCACCATGCCGTCGGATGCGAAGTTGGGAGGGGTGACCGGAGATTTACTCGCGGGCGCTGAAGCGTTTGCTGCTGCCGCTCCGTCATCGCCGGAGGAGAAGCAGCTCACAGCAGCGGTGAAAGCCGCAATGGGGTCGTCGCCCACGACCGTCGGCAAGTTTACTTTGCCTTACTCCACGGGTGCTGCGAGCTTTCTGAAGCTGACCGGACTGTCCAGCGGTGATTTGTCCACAATTGCCCAACAGGTTGCGGCGGCCGCGACTAAGCTCTCTGGACTCACTGGACCGACCGCTACCTGCCCGTCTGGATGGGTGGAGACCGCGGGAACGTGCAATCCTACCGGAAGCTACTCGGGTTTCTGCACCAGAGGCCTGCCGTCTGACCTGAGCGTCGCGGAGAAGCAAGAAGCGCAGATCTTCTGCGATGTCGCGTACTAAGCAGCAACCTGTGTCGCCTGATTACCGCAGCTAAGCGTGACTCTTCTAGTGTAATCGTTTCTAAGTTGGAATAGAGAACCCCACTCCTCAGATTCTTCGCTGGGCTGTGTAGCCTCAATCATTCTCATCATTCTGTTCGTTCGACGCTGCCTTGAGAGACAGGCTAGGACTCGGATACGTCCAGAGCGGAGTGAATGCTGTGCACTCAAACCTGATGCCAAAGCTGCCGTCGCCTAACGTTTTACTACAACACTGTCTGCTTGACTAACATTGCACGGTCTCCTCTCAACCTTGTAGCACTTTTTTTGAATAGAGAACCTGAAACTAGAACTTCTTGCGAAGAATGCTGCGTACACTCTTTATCGCGGTTGCGGCTTTTTTTGCCTGCTGCACTGCAGAGTCAATCAAAGTTGCTGGCCCGGGACACCTGACAGCAAGCGCCAAAGACATTGCTGCATTGGAGGCTCGCATTCAGGCGTTCATGCACTCCCAAGTCATGGGCAAAACTTCCTTCCTTAAAACTGGGGCTGCTGCGTGGGCCGGATCTCCAGGCATGGTCAAGGAGGCTTTGTTTTTGACGCAGCCAATGCGGACCGACTCTCCGGCGAAGGTCAACATCGTGGAGAAACGCCCTGAGTTTACTGCGTCGGCTTCCTCCGTCGCTGACTCTAGCCAAGCTGCTTATGATATGC